AAAACATAGGCAGAACACTTGATGACATAAATCAAAGCAAGATCTTCTATGATCCACCTCCTAGAATAATGGAAAGGAAAACAAAAATAAACAAGTGGGACCTAATTAAACTTAAAAGCTTTTGCACAGCAAAGGAAATGACAAACAAGGTGAAAAGACAACCCTCAGAATGGAAGAAAATAATAGCAAAGGAAATAACTGAAAAATAATTGATTTCCGTTAATATACAAGCAGCTCATACAACTCAATACCAGAAAAGGAAACAACCCAATCAAAAAATGAGAAAGGGACCTGAAGAGACACTTCTCCAAAGAAGACATACAGATGGCTAGCAAGCACATGAAAAAGGTGCTAGCACAAAGACAGAAATATAGATCAATGGAACAAAATAGAAAGTCCAGAGTTAAATCCATGTACCTATGGACACATTATCTTTGACAAAGGAAGCAAAAATATACAATGGAGAAAAGACAGTCTCTTTAACAAGTTGTGCTAAGAAAACTGCTCAACCACATGTAAAAAAATGAATCTAGAATACTTATAAAACTATGCATAAGAATAAACTCAAAAGGGATTAAAGATATAAATGTAAGACCAGAAACTATAAAACTCTTAGAGGAAAACAGGCAAAACACTCTTTGACATAAATCACAGCAAGATCCTCTACGACCCTCCTCCCAAAGTAATGGAAATAAAAACAAAAATAAACAAATAGGACCTTATTAAACTTAAAAGCTTTTACACAACCAAGGAAACTATAAGCCAGGTGAAAAGACAGCCTTCAGAATGAGAGAAAATAATAGCAAACAAAACAACTGATGAAGAATTAATCTCCAAAACATACAAGCAGCTCATGCAGCTCAATACCAGAAAAACGAACAACCCAACCAAAAAGTAGGCAAAAGAACTAAATGGACATTTCTCCAAAGACATACAGATGGCTAATAAATACATGAAAAGATGCTCAACATCACCCATTATTAGAACAATACATATCAAAACCACAATAAGGTATCATCTCATATCCATCAGAATGGCTGCCATCAAAAAGTCTATGAACAATAAATGCTGGAAAGGGTGTGGAGAAAAGGGAACCCTCTTACACTGTTGGTGGGAATGCACACTGGTACAGCCACTATGGAGAGCAGTTTGGAGATTCCTTAGAAAAACTGAAAATAGAACTGCCATACGACCCAGCAATCCCACTGCTGGGCATACACCTTGAGGAAACCAGAATTGAAAGAGACACATGTACCCCAATGTTCACTGCAGCACTGTTTACAATAGCTAGGACATGGGAGCAACCTAGATGTCCACCAGCAGATGAATTGATAAGGAAGTTACGGTACATATACACAATGGGATATTACTCAGCTATAAAAAAGAATGCACTTGAATCAGTTCTAATGAGGTGGATGAAACTGGAACCTATTATACAGAGTGAAGTAAGTCAGAAAGAGAAAGACAAATACTGTATATTAATGCATATATGTGGAATTTAGAAAGACACTAACAATGATCCTATATGCAGGGCAGCAAAAGAGACACAGATGTAAAAAACAGACTTTTGGACTATGTGGGAGAAGGCATGGGTGGGATGATGAGAGAATAGCATTGAAACATGTGTATTACCATATGTAAAATAGATGACCAGTTGCAAGTTCGATACATGAAGCAGGTCACCCAAAGTCGGTGCTCTGGGACAACCCAGAGGGATAGGGTGTGAATGGAGGTGGCAGGGGGTTCAGGATGGGGTGACATATGTGTACCTGTGGCTGATTCATGTCGCTGTATGGTAAACACCAGTGTTAGTCACTAAGTCATTTCCGACTCTTTGTAACTGCATGGACTGTAGCCCACCAGGCTCCTCTGTCCATGGGATTCTCCAGGCAAGAATACTGGAGTGGATCACTGTTTCCTTTTCCAGAGGATCTTCTCAACCCAGGGATTGAACCCAGGTCTTCTGTGTTGCAGGCAGATTCTTTACCATCTGAGCTACTGAGGAGTCCTAAACCATCACAGTATGATAAAGTAATTATCCTCCAATTAAAATAAATTAACTAAATTAGCAAAAGAGGCTCAACATCATTCATTATCAGGAAAATGTGAATCAAAACTGAAATGAGGGGCTTCCCTGGTGGTTCAGTGGTAAAGAATTCGCCTGCCAATGAAGGAGACATGGGTTGGATCCCTAGTCCAGGAAGATCCCATGTGCTGAGGAACAACTAGACCCATGGGCCACAACCATTGAGCCTGTGCTCTAGAGCCTGGGAACCAAAACTACTGAGCTGCAACTACTGAAGTAACTACAGAGTAGCCCTTGCTCGCTGCAACTAGAGAAAAGCCCACACAGCAAGGAAGGCCCAGCACAGCCAAAAATAAATAAAATAAAATAAAAAGCTAAAATGAGGTATCACATATAACCAGTCAGAATGGCCATTTTTAAAAATTTTATATAATAAATGCTTGTGAGAGTGTGGAGAAAAGGGAACCCTTCTACACTGTTGGTGGGAACATGAATTGGTGCATCCACTATAGAAAACAGCATGAAGTTTCCTTTTCTTTTGTTGTTTAGTCACTAAGTTGTGTCCAACACTTTGGCGGTCCCATGGACTGTAGTCCGCCAGGCTCCTCTGTCCATGGGATTTCCCAGGCAAGAATACTGGAATGGGTTGCCATTTCCTTCTCCAGGGGATCTTCCCAACCCAGGGATTAAAGTAGCATCTCCTGCATTGGCAGTTGGGTTCTTTACCACTGAGCCATCAGGGAAGCCCATGCAGTTTCCTTAGAAAAGTAAAAAAAAAAAAAGAAAAAGTTTCCATATGATTCAGCATATAATTCTTTGCAGCCGGAGATGGAGAAGCTCTATACAGTCAGCAAAAACAAGACCGGGAGATGACTGTGGCTCAGGTCATGAACTCCTTACCGCCAAATTCAGACTTAAATACAAGAGGGAAAACCACTAGACCATTCAGGTATGACCTAAATCAAATCCCTTATGATTATACAGTGGAAGTGACAAATAGATTCAAGGGATTAGATCTGATAGACAGAGTGCCTGAAGAACTATGGATGGAGGTTCATAACATTGTACAGGAGGCTGTGATCAAAACCATCCCCAAGAAAAAGAAATGCAAAAGGCAAAATGGTTGTCTGAGGAAGCCATACAAATAGCTGAGAAAAGAAGAGAAGCAAACAGCAAAGGAAAAAACGAAAGATATATCCATCTGAATGCAGAGTTCCAAAGAATAGCAAGGAGAGATAAGAAAGCCTTCCTCCGTGATCAATGCAAAGAAATAGAGAAAAACAATAGAATGGGAAACACTAGAGATCTCTTCAAGAAAAACAGAGATACCAAGGGAACATTTCATGCAAATGAGCACAATAAAGGACAGAAATGGTATGGACCTAACAGAAGCAGAAGATATTAAGAAGAGGTGGCAAGAATACACAGAAGCACTATACAAAAAAGATCTTCATGACCCAGATAACCATGATGATGTGATCACTCACCTAGAGCCAGACATCCTGGAGTGCAAAATCAAGTGAGCCTTAGGAAGCATCACTACCAACAAAGCTAATGGAAGTGATGGAATTCCAGCTAAGCTATTTCAAATATAATTTATATATTATATAAAAGATGATGCAGTGAAAGTGCTGCACTCAATATGCAATCAAATTTGGAAAGCTCATCAGTGGCCACAGGACTGGAAAAGGTCAGTTTTCATTCCAGTACCAAAGAAAGGCAATTCCAAAGAATGTTCAAACTACTGCACAATTGCACTCATCTCACAGGCTAGCAAAGTAATGCTCAAAATTCTCCAACTTAGGCATCAACAGTACGTGAACTGAGAACTTCCAGTTGTTCAAGCTGGATTTAGGAAAGGCAGAGGAACCAGAGATCAAATTGCCAACATTCGTTGGATCATTGAAAAAGCAAGAGTTCCAGAAAAACATCTACTTCTGCTTTATTGACTATGCCAAAGCCTTTGACTCTGTGGATCACAACAAACTATGGAAAATTCTTAAAGAGATGGGAATAACAGACCACCTGACCTGCCTCCTGAGAAATCTGTATGTAGGTCAAGAAGCAACAGTTAGAATGGGACATGGAACAACAGACTGGTTCCAAAATGGGAAAGGAGTTGTATATTGTCAAGGTTGTATATTGTCACCCTGCTTATTTAACTTTTATGCAGAGTACATCATGAGAAATGCTGGGTTGGATGAAGCACAAGCTGGAATCAAGATTGCTGGGAGAAATATCAATAACCTCAGATATGCAGATGACACCACCCTTATTGCAGAAAGTGAAGAGGAACTAAAGAGTCTCTTGATGAAAGTGAAAGAGAAGAGTGAAAAAACTGGCTTAAAACTCAACATTCAGAAAACAAAGATCATGGCATCTGACCCCATCATTTCATGGCAAATATATGCGGAAACAATGGAAATAGTGACAGACTTTGTTTTGGGGGTCTCCAAAATCACTGCAGATGGTGACTGCAGCCATGAAATTAAAAGACGCTCCTTGGAAGAAAAGCTATGACCAACCTAGATAACATATTAAAAAGTGGAGACATAACTTTGCCTACAAAGTTCCGTCTAGTCAAAGCTATGGTTTTTCCAATAGTCGTGTATGGATGTGAGAGTTGGACAATAAAGAAACCTGAGTGCAGAGGCTGTTGGGGCAGAGGCTGGTGACCCCGGCTGGAGAGCACAGTGCAGCGTCCCAGGCTTCCCCTGGGACCATCTCCAAGGACCAGACTCCACCGCAACTTCTCAGGTTACCTGGGAAGCTGAGAAGGGGCAAGGTCGGGGCACCAGCAGAGGAGAGAGAGTTCAGCTGGGCACGCTGAGGAAGGGAGAGATCATCAGGGACTACTAGATCACGGCAGCAGCGACCGCCTGGATCCTGGCACAGTAAAAACATTTCCAACAACCTCAAGTGCTCACCTGTTTGGGACATTGCGTCCATCTTAGAAGACTGCAGTAAAGTGGCAATGTCTCGGGAACCCACCCCACCTCTCTCTGGAGATATGTCTGTCGGCCCTATAGCAGAAAGCTGGTGTTATACACAGGTTAAAGTAGTAAAATTTTCCTACATGTGGACCATTAATAACTTCAGTTTTTGTCGAGAAGAAATGGGTGAAGTGTTAAAAAGTTCAACATTCTCATCTAGCCCCAGTGACAAAATGAAATGGTGCCTGAGAGTAAATCCAAAAGGATTAGATGATGAAAGTAAAGACTACTTGTCCTTATATTTGCTTTTAGTTAGCTGTCCAAAAAGTGAAGTTCGAGCAAAATTCAAATTTTCCCTTCTGAATGCTAAAAGGGAAGAAACAAAAGCAATGGAAAGCCAAAGAGCATATCGATTTGTACAAGGGAAGGACTGGGGTTTTAAAAAATTCATTCGAAGAGATTTTTTGCTTGATGAAGCTAATGGTCTTTTACCAGATGACAAGCTTACATTATTTTGTGAGGTGAGTGTGGTCCAAGATTCAGTAAATATATCAGGACATACTAATACAAATACGTTAAAGGTGCCTGAATGCCGACTAGCAGAAGATTTAGGTAATCTCTGGGAAAACACAAGATTTACAGATTGCAGTTTTTTTGTGAGAGGACAAGAATTTAAAGCTCATAAATCTGTTCTTGCAGCTCGATCCCCAGTTTTTAATGCCATGTTTGAACATGAAATGGAAGAAAGCAAAAAGAATCGAGTGGAAATAAATGATGTAGACCCTGAGGTTTTTAAAGAAATGATGAGATTCATTTACACAGGGAAAGCGCCAAACCTTGACAAAATGGCTGACAACTTGTTGGCAGCTGCAGACAAATATGCACTGGAACGGCTGAAGGTCATGTGTGAAGAAGCTTTGTGTAGTAACCTCTCAGTAGAAAATGTTGCTGATACCCTTGTCCTTGCAGATTTGCACAGTGCAGAACAATTGAAAGCACAAGCCATAGACTTTATTAATAGGTGCAGTGTACTTCGACAGCTTGGGTGTAAAGATGGGAAAAACTGGAACAGCAACCAAGCAGCGGACATAATGGAAACATCCGGGTGGAAGTCCATGATTCAGTCTCACCCACATTTGGTAGCAGAAGCCTTCCGAGCACTAGCATCTGCACAGTGTCCACAGTTTGGTATTCCACGAAAACGGCTAAAACAGTCTTGAAACCTTCCATGAACTGTAGAAAAATGGAATTGACTTTTCCTCCTCCAGGTCCAGAAGGATTCTAATACACAAACCATAAGCAAGAGTTGTTTCTGTTGTCTTGTCCACAGAACAGAAGCTGAAAAAGCATATTGCTTGCATTTCAGGTGGATAATTTATGGTTTATTCTTCAGCTTTAAATTAGACTGATTATACTCTAATTCACTTCAAGGCCTTAAATTATCTTCAGTGACTTCTCTTGTTCATGTAATACTTTAATTTTTTTATTGTGCCTTGTCATTGAGACCAAGGCTATGCAGGATTGCACTAGCTCCATAATGCAGTAATACTGATAACTGAAGATAGTAAGTTTCAAAAGGATCTTCCATTAGTTTGAGAAAGGCAGATGAATTTTGTAGGGTTTGTCCTGTACTAAAAGTTTAAAACTAGGTTTTCCTTTAAAAAAGCACTTGTGTTGGAGATGACTGGTAATGTTTCTAGTCTAAGTTCTATAAATACAGGAGAACCTGCTTACCTTCAAGGTAAGTTATGGCAATACACTGCTTCAGTTCTAATTTATTTTTCATTTCAGGGGGCAAATATGCAATGAGTTGGCCCAAATTTTTAGTGAAATTTGTGATTTTTGTATGTTAACTGTCCAACAAACTAAGAGAAGCAAACAAACCTTTACTTGTGTTTCTTTGTGAGTTTATCCAAGTTTACAATGATTGAGAACTGATTGAGGTTAAGATTTCAATAAGAAGAAAGCATGTTTAGTGCTGAATTAATTTTTTTTTAATTTATAGTGACCTACATTTACATGAAGAATTCTATATGTTAAAAGTAAGGATGACCAAATGTAAATTTAATGACTGGGCCAATTAAGGAAGATATATATGCACTTTTAATGTGTAACTTTTATATGCTAAATGGTACTCTTTTTTTTTTTTCTTTTGAGGGAATTGATGTGGTATAATTAATTGTCTTAACTTTTGAAAGAATTTTTTAAGAAAGATGGAGGCAACTGGGATGTTTGTGATAATAGATTAAAAAAGGTATTCCCAATTATAGTTACATTGGCTTGACTTTCAGATATTCATTATTGAATTTACTACTGTTTTATCACACTTTGGAGAAGGCACCTGAGCAGTAAATGAATCCTAGTCTACTCTCCTTCTAAAAACAGTGAACTGTTATTCGAAGACCAAAGGAGAGGACCCCCAAAAATATGTCAGGCTACACTCTGAAACCTTTTTCCTCCCTAGGTTTCTCCTGTCTGTCTCAGTTACTATACCAACGTTGTGGATGATAATTGAAATAATGCGTAATGTGAACAGGATAAACTGTTTATAAACTGCTTTTCACAGGCCAGTTCTTTATTATAAATGAATTTTAGCTTTAAAACACATACGTATCTTCAGTTTGTTCACAGCATAGGTCTGCTCTAGTGCATTGTCATGGCGAAGCAGGAGCGATCAGTGTCAAGTGCTGCATCGGATTTCCTCTAACAATGGCAGTATGCTTCTTAGGCAGGATTTGTGTGTGACCACAGGGGAAAAAGTGTGTCACTGGAAAAAAGAATGCTTATATCTATATATTTACCTATGTAACTATTCTCCAGATTAAAATTTGCATAATTCGTTTATTTAGTTTTTGAAATTAGGGCAAAAGGAAAAAAAAATGAAGCTAAAGTTTTAAAATAGGTATTATTTTTGTTATCTATTAGGTATTTACTGAATCCTAATATACCAAGAATGATTCATATTTACATTGAACAAACACTGTCAAATAATCATTTGTTATCCACATCAGAAAAAAAAAAAAAAAGAAACCTGAGTGCAGAAAAATTGATGCTTTTGAAGTGTAGTGTTGGAGAAGACTGTTGAGAGTCCCTTGGACAGCAAGGAGAACAAACCAGTCCATCCTAAAGGAAATCAGTTCTGAATATTCATTGGAAGGACTGATGCTGAAGTTGTAGCTCCAATACTTTGACCACCTAATGTGAAAAACTGACTCATTGGAATAGTCCCTGATGCTGGGAAAGATTGAAGGCAGGAGGAGAAGGGGATGACAGAGGATGAGATGACTGGATGGAATCACCAACTTGATGCACATGAATTTGAGCAAGTTCCAAGAGTTAGTGATGGACAGGGAAGCCTGGCATTCTGCAGCCCGTGGGGTCTCAAAGCGTCAGACACGACTGAGTGCCTGAACTGATGATCCAGCAATCACACCTAGGCATATATCCAGAGAAAATTCTAATTCAAAAAGATACATGCACCCCAATGTTCAGAGCAGCACTATTTACAATAGCCAAGACATGGAAGCAAACTAAATGTATATCAGATGAATGGATAAAGAAGATATGACATATATACACATATATATGATGGAATACTACTCAGCCATAAAAAGAATGAGACAATGCCATTTGATGCAATATTAATAGACCAAAGCCACATAAGCAAGACAAAGACAAATATCATGTGATATCAGTTATATGTGGAATATAAAATAAAAGAGATAGAAATGAACTTATATTCAAAACAAATATATCCACAGATATAAAAACAAACTTAAGGTCACCAAAGGGAAAAGGGTAGTGGGAATGGGTAAATTAGGAATTCATATTTCTTCTTGAGATACATTACATATTATGTTTTTCCAGGGATCTTCCTAAGTATGTAACGTATCAAATGTACTGGCATAAAATTGTTCATTATACACTCATATTTTTAGGTGCAGTTTTGTATATACCCTTCTGTTTTCCTGACGTTGTACATTTGTACCATGCCTTTTACTCTTCTGTCTCTTGCTCACTTCTTCATAGTGATTTGTTCATTTTATTTTTCTTCCTAAAAAACTAACTCTTGGTTGTGTTGGCCCTGTCTCATGTATGTTTATTTTATATTTCATTAATCTCTAGTGTATGTTCTTTCCTTACTTATCATTTCTTTACATTAAGTTTTCTACTCTTTTTCTAGAATTCATTAACTTCCAGACTTTCTTTCCTTTAATACACACATTTAATGCTATTAAAATTTCCCTCTACTGACCCTGTTATTGTTTAGTCGCTCAGTTGTGTCCGACTCTTTGCGACCCCATGAACTGCAGCACGCCAGGCATTCCTGTCCTTCACCATCTCCCAGAGCTTGCTCAAACTCATGTCCATTGAGTCAGTAATACCATCCACCTCATGTTCGTCGTCCCCTTCTCCTCCTGCCTTCAATCTTTCCCAGCACCAGGGTCTTTTCCAATGAGTAAGCTCTTTGCCTCGGGTGGCCAAAATATTGGAGCTTCAGATTCAGCATCAGTCCTTCTAATGAATATTCAGGATTTATTTCCTTTAGGATTGACTGATTTGATCTCCTTGCAGTCCAAGGGACTCTCAAGAGTCTTCTCCAACATCACAGCTCAAAAAGCATAATTTCTTCAGCACTCAGCTTTTCCTTATGGCCCAACTCTCACATCCATACATGACTACTGGAAAAACCATAGCTTTGACTATGCAGACTTCTGTCAGCAAAGTAACGCCTCTGCTTTTTAATATGCTGTCCAGGTTTGTCACAGCTTTTCTTTCAAGGAGCAAGCATCTTTTAATTTCATGGCTGCAGTCACCACCTGCCATGATTTTGGAGCCCAAGAAAATAAAGTCTACTGACTTAGAGTGATCTAAATTTTCTTATGTTGCATGTTAAAAATTCCAAACATTTCATAAGTTCCAGTTTTATTTGTCCTGCGATTTGGTAATTATTGAAAAGTGTATCATTATTTTGAGGTATGTGAGGCTTTTGTAGTTACCTGTTGATTTCTAATTTAATCACCCTGTGATCAGATACTGTTGGGTATATGATAACAATAGTTTGAAATTCAAAGTTCATCAGTATATCTACCTTCATCAGTATATTTACCCAAGTAAATAATACAAGAACCAAGAATACCAAGCCTGATTCATTTCCATTTTAACAAATCTCCTCTTGACATAATGTCACTACTATAACATTACTACCACTATCTAGCATTTAGTTTTATCTTTCTTATTCTTCAAGGCATCATCATTATTTTAAATATTCTGTATATATTTATGTTTACCCATGTACTTGCAATTTTATTTCTTCAGCACATCTTGCTTTTCAAATCTCCCATCTTAGATCATATTTTCTGCCACAAAGATATTTTTGTTGGTTATAGAACTCTAGTTTGCCACTTGTTTTCAGATCACTTTGTCTTTGGTATTCTATAGTTTCAACATAATGTTTATAGGAGTTTGCGTGTTTTTTTTTTAAAATCTTGCTTAGGATTAGATATGCTTCTTGAATCCATGTATTGATGTTTTCTAATAGTTTTACAGACAGTTCAGTCCTTATATCTTCAAATATTTCCCCTGTCTCACTCTCAATTTCTTTTGTTTTTGGATCTTTGGTGAACTGTATGGTAGATCTTCTCAGTCTGTCCTACAAGTCTGTTATCCCTTCTTTCATAGTTCCCACCCCTTCATCTCTTGGACTGTATTCTGTGTATTTCCTTCAGTTCTTTATTATAATTCTCTAAAATTCTATTCAATTGTGTGTAATCATTGTTAAACACTTTCACAAAGTTTTCAATTTCAACATATTCCGTTAAGATGGGTTCTTTATGAAGCTGTGGTACATATACACCATGGAATATTACTCAGCCATTAAAAAGAAATTCATTTGAATCAGTTCTAATGAGATGGATGAAACTGGAGCCCATTATACAGAGTGAAGTAAGCCAGAAAGATAAAGAACATCACAGCAAACTAACACATATATATGGGATTTAGAAATATGGTAATGATACCCTATATGCAAGACAGAAAAAGAGACACAGATGTACAGAACAGACTTTTGGACTCTGTGGGAGAAGGCGAGGGTGGGATGTTTCGAGAGAACAGCATTGAAACATGTATATTATCTAGGGTGAAACAGATCACCAGCCCAGGTTGGATGCATGAGACAAGTGCTCAGGCCTGGTGCACTGGGAAGACCCAGAGGGAGTGG